AAGCCAAAAGAAAAGAAGCCAAAAGAAAAGAAGCCAAAAGAAAAGAAAGGAAAAGAAGAAAAGAAAACAGCGAACAAGGGCAAAACAGACAATTTGTCTCCTTGTTGTCGAAGTCTTGCAACCTGTTGTAAATCAGATAATGTGTCTCTAGGGTCAAAGCAATCAGCCGAGTCATCGAATACATCTACATCATCGACAAAGTCGTCAAAGTCAACAAGATCAACGCAAGCGCCATGTGGCCAAGCCATGCAGTTTTGCCCGGGAATGGAAGCCAGTAGCCCTACGAAACTTATGAAGTCAGAAGGTGTATATTCTGGTAACAGACAACAACCAGGAGATGACCGCTATAACTCACCAAGAGCACATATGCCAACGCAACGTTTACCTTTATCACCAAATCCATATTGTCCACCAATGCCACGTAGTACGCCTCAGCAACAACAAACACAGTACCCGATACCGCCACCGTATGGTACGTTGTTGACAACTTGTCGTCCAGGATGCCAAGGCATGAAACCAGCATCAAGAGGCCCGCCTAATTATCCTGAACCAGGAAGTGAACGAGGTCAACTTAAGGTAGTGCAGAATAAAGATTTTTCGTCAAAAGGTTTCGGACAAGGTGGCTTATGCTTACCAGAATGCTGTGACCCTAACAGAGCAAGGACTGTTGCAATATCTAATATTAGTTCAACACAACTGTTGAGTTTATCGCCATCAAATAGGTCTAAATCTTTCTGTACCCTTGACACATCGAACAAGAAAGAAGGTAAAAACCGAGTTCTTTGTTGGTACACCTAAAAAGCGATATTGTAGATATTATTTTATATATTGTAGATAGTATTGAGCGATTAGTGATCATGAGTTTTAAAATGCGTTTGACGATAAATAGGTATCAATATAGTTTTAGGTGTATGAAGTAAATATTATCTAATATTTTCGCAAGTTTATTATGTACCATAGGCTACCGAAAATTCCTTAAGTCAAAACAATGTAGAATGATTATATTCTAATTTAAATTATCTTGCCTTAGTTAATCGTAGCTTATGTAGGATCATCAAAATCGGTAAAGTAGTATTTTTTTTTGTTTTAAAGAAAGCCGTCACAAGAAATTAGTTGCTTTTTCCGTATTTCGGCGATGTTCTAATTGCATGCATATTTCTAAATTTCATCATTTATTTTAGGAACAAACATTTCTACGGAGATAAGTGCACATACGGTAAAGATAAATAAATCAGACACGAAAATTTGGGACCAACAACAGATGAATAAATATAACCGCAAAATGTTACTTTTAGCATTAGAACGTATGTGTCAAACGATGGGACAATTTTCTGTGCAATTTAGAGAACTTACGAACAAGATGACTGAGAAAATGGATACCAAAAGATAAGAAGAATTTACTTAAGTATAAAAGTATTTTATACAAAGTTTATATCATCTATTCTAATTATGTCCTGATGCAAAAACATTGGTGTCATAATATGTTAATGCGAAATTATGTGTATCGTATAGCTACCTAACGGTTAATCCGGTATCGGTGCAGGTGTAAATTGTTTCCCATAGATTTGTCATACAATTTTGTGCACGCCACATGCATAAGGCCGATGCAATGCGAATAGACTCCAATATCCTTAATTTTTACGGAAATGTTACTATGAGGCAATTTTCTATTTGTTATAAATCTAAAATAGAGTCGATTTATAATAAATACCTTGTTGCAACTGAATGCTAGATAATATTTAACGAACAACAATTTCTATTATATTGTCGGCTAAATTCGTAAACTTTGTTCCTCCATTGAAGTGGACTTTTGGGCAAAAAAACAGAATTACTAGAAATAATTATATGACAATATAGTATTTGTACCTTTATTTTATAGCTAAAGAGTATAAAATTACATTTTAGGCTTTAATTGCCCGAAATATCAATGCAAAAGCGCTAGAAGAGTAAAAAAAGTTTTCCAATTTAACCGACGACATGGAAACTTACATTTTATTGCGAAACAAAATTCAGTTTTTTAAACTTGTTTACTGTCTCTTTTTATCATTTATCTATTTTACTATCAATTTGTCCTTTATCGTTTTTAATGCTTTAAAATATATGATGAACCTATCATGTAAGCATTTATTTTATTCAACTTACTCATTTTATACAACAAACTTGGACATATATGCATTATTAGCGCCATTTCACTGCTATGACAAAAACACCCCACTGCTGTAAACATGTTTAGGTTTACATACAGCGCGCATCGCCGTGATTGATTGATTACACTTTCACACTGACGATTTTATAAGATGTGATCACTTGGTTTTTTATAAAAACCGATTAATTTATTCGATAATACAAACAGATACATAACAGAAAATTGTTAACAGTGAAAATAATCGCAAATTGGGCAATATTTTAATATAAGTGCCGTTTGTTCGTTGTGCCGAATGCAAATTTCTCGCGGTGGAGAAGGAAAAAAGCAATTACATCATATTTTGGTTATATTAAAATTTTTTGTTGTTATAAGTATAAGCCTAGCACTTGTTATTATTTTGTTTCAATTTGATTTCATTAATTTGCTTATGATCTAACTAATTCTAAGCCTTGTAACCAGATTTGCCTAAAAAACATATTAATCTACTGACACGTTTCATTAAAGTAGGTACACATTGTATTTGAAGATAGTTCAAATCGATCATGACCGCGACCCTTTCATTTGGTCCTCTGGCAATAACAAGTGGTACTTAAAACATAGCAAAGTGTACACCAGTTTATAGTGAAAAAGGTAACCTATCACAAACTCGAATTTCTTTTTTCCGAATTTCATTACTCCGAAAACGGTTCGACTTTTTTTCATTACAGTTTTGATATAAATTTGCAACACAGAAATGTCTTACAGCAGAAGTATCGTTAGGCCGAAAACCTATTATTAGAGTAATTATTATACATACGTATTCTTTGGGCTGAAGTTTGTTTGGTCTAATCATGTTTGTTATACTGTCTGTTTTCCATATAATTTAGATTGCTGAAAATTCGTTTCGACAAAATTATTATTCTCAGTTAAAATTGTACTGCCGTACAATTTTACGGTACAGCTCCAAAATTCTGGACTGTACTCTGCTGGTGCACAGTAAGTCCACTTACGTAATTTTCATCATACCATTGTGCTATGTCTTTGCTGTCGTCTGAAATGTAATTTAAAAACTTGAGTATTAAATAAAATAACTTATAACTGAATCGAGGAGAGCACCGAAAAAAGGAGAGTAGAGAATCGAATTTGCATTTCCTAGCTAGGTGGGTTTAGATTAGTTTAGTATATGAAAAAGCCGCACGAGTCGTGCGAGGGAAGCGAGCGTGACGCGGTAGAGGCCGGCTAGTGCCAGAGCCACAGACATATATCTAGATAGACGCCGAAAGTGTACGTACTTCGCGTGCTCAAAGTAAGTGAAATTCACTTACTTGCCGCTGTTACACTTCAGAACGCGCTCGACCATTATCGTAGATAAACACCAGTCGAAAACGCGAAAAACGCATAATTGTGCCTATTACAAACTGCAAAAGCACCATAACTGTGGGTAAACGGGTAAACAGGGACGTTTCCTTCCACGGGCAAGTGATTTTGTAATCAGAAGCTGCATAATTTATTTTAAAAACAATTATTTTGGTTTTGTATGAATTTCGAGAAAACAAATATGCAACCGAATGTATGCCTCATGATTGGTAATACATTGCGGCTTTTACTTGGTGCGATATATTTGTGATCCTTTGCTAATACGCCATGAATATCGAACGATCGCACTTTTGTGTAATGCATTCAAATTCATGGTACGGACGCTTGTACATATCTTTGGCCAAATTTAACATTTAGTGATGGTTAACAGTTTGTGGTATAGTGGTGATATATGTTAGGCAACACTGTTCTCGATTCTGATCGATTTTGAAAACAAAATATTCTATAATTCTTTTGTCATAACGTTTAGTAACGTTTTGTTTTTTTTTTTTTTCAGTTTTGTAGTATCTGTAATTACAATAGTTTTTGCAGCACGTTGCCTCGAATGTCCAAATATAGAGAGCAAATAATAGTACGAGTAATACAAAAAAATATATATAATGCAAAGAATTAACAGTGCGCTGTCTTTACAAAAACTTGGAGTTGGTCATACGTGAGTTCGTTACTTTCGAAGACTAAGGTGTTGTAGTTTATCCCACCTAAGATGCTATCCAAATATGCAGAGTGACAGAGTTAGACATCCGAGAAATAATAAACAAGTCACAAAAATTTGACACGAGGCCGTCATTAAGTAAACCTCTTCAGATTAATAAGATTTTACCATATTTTGTCAGCATTTTCAGTTGTCTTGCCATTCATCAATTTGATCAATTACCAGCAAAAAACCATCTAATAAAATTAATTAAGGCAGTCGCAAGTTCATATATTGACGTGCGTTTTCATTATTTAAGTTATATAATATATTCTATTACAAAAATATGTTATATAATAAACTCATTTTATTGGAAGGACAATAATTTTAATATTTGAAGTCGATTAAAAATTAAAGTATTAATTTTTTTAAGTAATCAACATTTTTTAAAAACAAGTACCAGAGCCGAATTTGTTTGCGTTACCTAGACGGTACGTACGTACCTAGACGTAGGTTTAGATTAAGTTAGTATATGAAAAAGCGGAACGATCCTAACGCGCGAAGCGAGCGACTACAACTCAATCAAATTAACTTGCATCTCGTGTACCGTATTTTGTAAAGATGGGAGGTGCTTTAATTTGACGAATTTCTGCGACACGTTCTAATACTTTTAATATATTACGTAATAAGAAATAACCTAACAAAAATGTATGATGGATATCGTTTTTTTACAAAATAAAAATATTCGGTTGGTTGGGGAAATAAAATTCGGGAAAAGAATGACTTGTGAATATGTCAAAATAGTGAAATATTAATGTTTAACACATTTTAAATGGGGTAATAAAAAAAACCGTAAACAGTTTGGAGTCGGATAATGAAACAAAATCTATTCAATAAAAAACTAAAGGTTTTAAACATCTGGTATCCCGCCGGATATTGTTCTACTATCCGGTGTCCGGCTGGATAGTAAATAGGCCGGAAAGGCCGGATACTGGATAGTTACCGGATATCCGTTTCATCTCTAATGTAACCTAACCTATTTTTGGAGAAAGGTTGTCCAAAAATAATTTAGAAAAATTAATGATAAAATGTTACTAGCCCCACGTACCGAACGGTCTCGACAAGTCTCATACAAAGATGCAATATTATTCTGGTGAATAAATTGCTTACATTGCTAGTTTTGAGACTGAAAGGATGGATGTACCTACAAGGATCCGAATAATAAATACGTTTGAATTCGTAATCCGTTTAATTATCTACTTATTGCAAACTACATATAACTCTATGGCTTGATTCATATCGCCGAGACGTAACGCTACATTAAAACGAGCAATGCAACATTAAAGTTTATCCTCTACAAAATAAGACTTTTCATTAAACAAACTAACGAAACGGCTTATAAAATGCAATATACTATAGGACATGTTCTCTACCAAATAAAGTATACATTTCTTCAAACAATAAAAAACAAGTCGCCAACGGTAGGCGACGGTTGGCGACCGTAGGCGACATCGCGCGCACTTGTCCCGCCTCTGGCTATGTAAAGTGTAACTTAGTTTCTCAACAATAAGGTACTATGTAATAATAATCTTTGAAAGGCACACTGCGTAGCACATGCAATACAATATAGAATTTCAAGACTACTACATAAAGTCGATATTTCTTTGAGTGCAAAGTAAAAGCCGCGCTGCGGCGCCGCTCGACGCCGCCTACCGTCGCCAATTTGTGCCGCAACGGGCAATACAAAATGTCACTTAGCTTCTCAATAATATAGTATATTTCTTTGAAAGATCTATGGTATATTTCTTCTATTTTATTGAAAGACATTTATAGCTGATCGACGCCGGGATGCGTAGCGCGAACTTTGGAAATAGCAATGCAATATAATAAATAAAGTGAATATTTCTTCTCACGAATGGATGGTTGTTATTATGCAATTTGTAGATTTTACAATAGTCCACTGTCGGCACTGTATGAGGTTACGAACCAATTTTGAAAATGAACTTTTCTAAAGTGGTTTTGGCCTAGGTGTTCTGGATAGTGCCAGGAAGTGCAATCCGTAGCTCTTGGTACCGGGTATGATTCCCGGTATTGGTTCCGAAATTGGTTCTACCGGTAATGATACCTGGGAGTTTCTCATCCATGCAATATTATTCGCATGTATAACCTACAAATTACTTAGACCCCTCATCCATAGAGTAGAAGCAGCAAGCGGCCGCAGGAAACGGTGAGCTGCGCCGGGCGCTCTTTATAATGTGCATTATAATATAGAACATTTACTATCAATTAAATAAAGTATATATCGCTTCTATCAAAAGAGAAAAGCCGCGTTGCGTTGTCGACGGTAGGCGACGGTAGGCGGCGCAGCGATGCTTTTGCTTTGCTTTCAAAGAAATATCGACTTTGTTTATGTAAATAAGAAATTCTATACTACATTGCATATACCACGCAAACTGCCTTTCAAAAAAATATACCTTATTGTTGAGAAGCTAAGTTACACTCTGTACTGCTGGAGGCGGGACAATTCGCCGACGGTAGGCGACTTCGCGCTGCGCAGCGCGAAGTCGCCTACAGTCAGTCGCCTACTGTCGACGATTTGTTTGAAGAAATGTGTACTTTATTCAGTAGACAATATGTTCTATAGTATATTGCAGTTTATAAATAGTGCTCCCGCCGTAGCTCTCTGCAGCCCACCGCCGCTTGATGCAGCTTAGTTTTCATTTGTTTGTTTAATGAAATGTTGCCTTATTATGTACAGGATAAAGTTTATGTTGTATTTCTCGTTTTAATGCAGGGCCGCGCCGAA